GTGGCTGTCAGGGGCTGGAAGGGGCTGCCCAGGGAAGGGGTCGAGTCCCCAGCCCGGGGGGGATTTAACAGCCGGGCAGAGGCGGTGCTGAGGGCCGGGCTTTGGGGGTGGGATGGCAGGGGGAGGGGAATGCTTCGACTGGGGGAGCTGAAAGGGCTTTTCCAACCCAAACCATTCCAGGATTCTATAATTCTAAGGACAAGATGGCTGCGAGGGAAGGCCAGGAGGCGACAGCTCCCCCAGGCACAGAGGGGAACCCTCACTCCCCGCTCTTAGCGCTGACCATGCCGGCAAAGCTTGCCTCGAGATGCCAGAGGAGACCCAAAGAGCAGCATTTTGCCAAAAAGGCAACATAAATCCTCTGGCAGTTTATGACCCTTGTCTCCAAGCTTCGACGCGGTGCCGGAGCTTTGGGCTCGGCGGCGCATTAGGAGGGGGCTGCAAAAAGCTTTTCGGCAGCCTGACAGCTGGATCAGCAGCAGCCACGGCGATCTCTTTGCAAACGAAACCTTCCCGAGCCCTTGGGAGACCGCACATCCCAAGTGCATCCCTTCCAGCCCAGCAGCACCTCCAGAATTCATGTTTTCTTTCATTAGCGTACCCCATTCTCGAGCACAGCAGTTAGATGCCACAAAAAAAATGCTCATTTCCACCCTTTCAGGATGACTAAACGGCTTCAGCTCGGGATTTTTTTCCCCCCTTCCAAAAGAAGTGGTTGATTACCCAAGCGACCCGACGCATACGGCTTTCCAGAGCTTCGCTTCTCTCGTTTCAGGATTGAGATTAACTGCTACGAGAGGCAAGCAGCTCGCCTGGCTCCCGAGCCCCGGGTCCAAAGCCAGCGTCGCTCACGGTGAGGCAGATCTGCCTCGTCACCTGCATTTTTTTGGGTTATTTTCCACTAGGACCTGAAATCTTGCCTTCAGACGAGGTAACAGCCTCCCTGCCACCCCGCGGGTTGCTTTCCTCCAGCAGAAACATGACTTATGGGAAGGGTTTCAGGAAGACAAATTGAAATGCTTTAATAACTTCACCTCCCAAGTAACCAGCGCTCCAAGTTTGAAGAAATTACATTTTCAGCCCAGAAAAAAAAAGGAGAAAGCAAGAATAAAAAAAGAGAGGGGGATGGAGGAACAGCCCAGGGACTTGGCCACCACGTGTGGTTCCAATGCCATCTAGTGGAAACCGGCTCTTGCAACGCTTCTTTACATTTTGGTGCAGCCAGAAAGAAGAAAATAAATCTTTTCCTGTCCATCTCCAAAGAGCACAACAAGCTGAGTTTCTGCTGAAAGCCAAAAGAGCGGACGCCGCACCCTGGGATTTAATGTTTCTTTATAGGCAATAACAAAATTATTATATTACATAGATTATATTGCCTGGCCAAGTTGGAGAGGGGGGGTCATGGGAACCTCATGAGGGTCAACAAGGCCAAGGGCAAGGTCCTGTCCCTGGGTCAGGGCAGCCCCCGGGATCCGTACGGGCTGGGGGATGAGGGGGTGGAGAGCAGCCCTGCCCAGAGGGACCTGGGGGTGCTGGGGGATGAAAAGCTGGCCGTGAGCCGAGTCCCCACCTGGAGCTCTGCGCCCGGTGCTGGGCTCCCCAGGTCAAGGAGGAGGAGGAGCTACTGGGGAGAGCCCAGAGGAGGGCAACCAAGCTGATGGGGGGCCTGGGGCATCTCCCCTAGGAGGAAAGGCTGAGGGAGCTGGGCTTGTTCAGCCTGGAGCAGAGGGGGCTGCGGGGGGACCTGAGTGCGGCCGCTCAGGGCTTCAAGGGGGCCCCCAGGGAAGACGGGGACAATCTTTTGAGCAGGGCCGGCTGGGACAGGCCACGGGGGGATGGTTTGAAACCAAAGCAGGGCGGGTTTCGCCTGGATGGAAGGCAGAAATCCTTGGCCCTGAGGGTGGGAAAGAGCGGGAGGGGTTGCCCAGGGCGGTGGTGGAGGCCCCATCCCTGGGAACATCCAAGGCCAGGTTGGCCGGGGCTGTGGGCAACCTGCTCTGGTTCAAGGTGTCCCTGCTGCTGCAGGGGGGTGGGGCTGGGTGACCTCTGGGGGTCCCTTCCACCCCAAACCATTCCAGGATTCTGTGATTCCACTAAAACAACTGTAGCTCTTCGCTACAGACCTTCCTCTGGGATCACGGCAAGCGCCTACGGCTTCTGGGTGCAGGTTATACCAATAAACACAGCATTCTCTCTCCCTGGCAGCAACCTTTCTTGACCCTCTTCAAATAAAACATGCATGGACACTCTCGCTGGGAAGAGATTTTGGGTTGCATCTTTGAATAGCGTCGCTGTATGCGTGATATCATTGCCTTACGTTTTCCTCCTAGTGGAAACGACTGCGAAAAGCATTTGTAAGATAAAGCACAAGGGCTGCCAACGTTACGCTTTTGCCATCCCAAAGATTCTCCCTCTCACACCAGCAAATCTCATTAAGCATCCACGAGCTTTTCGTTGTCGCTCCCTCCCTGCGCCCGTCGATAATCCTGTAACAAAATCTCTCACCGGCCCCATTATTTCTGTCAAATTGTTCTTATTGCCGCAATTTGTTAACAGCTTTCTCATTGCAGATTAGAATGCCAAATCATTCATCTGGCGTGCGGGTAGCAAGACTTATCCACTTCTTCCTTATTCATGGCTCATTACGCTCTGCGACTGCATTTCCATGTAGCTGGAAAAGCCTTTTCCAGGGGGGGAAAAGCCAATTTCACGAAGGGCGTTCGCACGACATCGCCTCTCTGCCTAGAATAATATTACGGTTGCATTCCTAATTGGTTTAACTTCCAGACATCAAACTACATTTCCTGCACAGCGGGCTGCCTAGCCTAAAAATCCATTTCTCCGTTCGTTCCCCCAGCAGCGGGGTGCGTTATTAAAGCCCACCCCCCGCCAAGAAGATCAGCAGCAGCCCCGTAATCTCGATCTGGCGTTCCCGCTGAGCTTGACTTACCTCTTCCAAACGCACCCAGGTCCCCCCCTGCTTTTGCTGAGCTGCAGTCGCTAAACTGGGAAGCGAGAGATTCAAAATCCTCTTCTCCCGATTTTATCTTCTGGATGTAGCCTGTAAAAAAAAAAAAAAAAAAAGGAATAATTCCGTCAGGAGAAGGAGAAATGGAGAAACTGTAAAAAAAAAACAAACCACCCAAAACCCCCACCTTAAGCATTACATCCCACAGCAAGAAGGGCACAACCAACCACAGGCACACACAAAGCGAGGTTTCCAAACCTCCGGAATGAGGATAAAGCCAGAACTAAACTTTCCCAACATCCCAAAAGCATTTGCCTTTGGTTTTGGGTTGTTGTTTTTTTTTTCCCAAGCACATTTCCATCGTTGCACCACAGCCCATTTCTGTTAAAACTTCCATTAAATAATAATAATAATAATAATAAAAAAAAGGGGATTCCGCCTACTACTACCCCTGGAGCACGGGAATTTATTATTGGGCTTCAAAACAAATGAGCTTTTGGTTTCAGAAGGGCTCACCTCAGTAGAAGAACGAGCACGGAGAATCCCCGTGGAGTGAATTATTTGTCAAGGCAGCTTTTTAAAAGGTCAGTTAAGAAATATTTGTAGGCTTAACCGAGAGCTCTGCCTTGCTCTTCTGAATCTTCCTGGACCAGCGGAACCCCCCTCCCAGCCCCCCCTTGCTAGCTCGTAACAAGAAAACTTAGGAAATAAATCATATTTTCCGGTCAACAGCTTGGTAACATGATTGGGGAGCCGCTAATTACAGACGGTGACGGCTCGCGGAGATGAGCAAAGTACAAGCGCCACCAACGCGTCCCTTAACACCGGCACGATCCAGATTTCCGCGGATTCTCGAGACGACGAGGAAACCCTGGGGGGTTTCACGCAGCTCAACCAGCTTCCAGCTCCTTCGTTAAAAGGAGCGTAACCCCCTAAAGAAAATCCCGAGCTGTGGCCGGTCTGACTTGCAGCCACCCCCCCCACACACACCAAAAGACCATTTAGAACCAGTTGCGAGATGTTTCCACGCGAGGAGCTGGACTCGAAGCCTGCGAACAGCGGCGAGATCCGCCGCGGGTCCGGCTGCCGGTTGACCCCTCTCCCTTCCCAAAGCAGCCTGCGCCCACCAGAGGGGCTTTGCCTTCCGCGCTTTGGACCACGAGCGATAAATGAAGACTTAAATTACACCGCAAAAAGCATTCCGCCGTGTATTTGAAAGGAAGGGAGCATCTCCCAGAGGAACCCACCCGCGGGCGCCCTGTGGGAACGGCTCCAAAGCAGTTGCTCCGGCTTCCGACCCGAAGTGACTCTCGGCGACCAGGTGGAACCCAGAGCAACATATCTCTTCCTGGAGATTGGTTTCATTTTTAAATCCCTTCCTTGCAGAAACCTCCCGTCGGCTTTCAGAAGAGTCGGCCAAGCCTGGCTGGCTTCCATTTTAGACCTAAGCCATCTTCTACCTTCCAAAAGAAAAACTGAGCAGCGGCCGATTATTCATTAACAGAGAAATTAAGAGGAAAGAAACGTCCTTCTCCCCCCCTCGAAGCTCTTAAGCCTCTTGGTTTCGATAACCAAACTTTCAGGTCACTCCCGCATAAGCCCTGTAGCCTAAAGAGTCCGTGCTTTGCTAGATAAACCTCTCAAAACCCAAAATTTAATCGCACTGGGCATCATTTATTCCAACCGCAAGCAGTGGAAGATCCCTAGGTGAGAAAGGATCACGCGCATAATTCAAGAGCGAGGCTTTATGACTCGGAGGGATGCTCTCAGGAAAGGAAAAGGGCCGGGTTTGACGCAAAAGGATGAGGAAATGAGGATTTTCCAGCCCGTTTTGATGCTCTACACTTGCATACACCTGAGGAAACGTCTGCGAAGGGCTGGGGACAGGTAAGGAAGTTCTCCTTAATGACAGGATGGAGGTTGCCTCCTCGGGGTTGAGGTATCCAGCAGCACGCTATCCATTTTTGGGTGAACCCCTTCATCGCAGTTTAACGCTTGCAAGACGTCAAGGCCAGGTTGGCCGGGGCTGTGAGCAACCTGATCGAGTTAGCGGTGTCCCTGCTCCTGCAGTGGGGTTGGACAAGATGACCTCTAGGGGTCCCTTCCAACCCAAACCATTCAATGATTCCATGATTCTAAGACCAAAACGAAAGGATTTGAAGCCTTCGGAGCAGGCTTCTGGCCTACAGCCCGTTTTTCCTCCCCAATTCAGTCATCGCTACGCTAAATCTCTGGAATTCCCCACGGTGTTCAGGACAGCAAGGTTTGCTTTTCCAGCTGGGCAGGCCGGGAGGAAGAGCTAGCAATAAAAATAAAAAATGGGAAGAGGAGATGGATTCTCTCTTCTTCTAGAATGTCTTTTTTTTTTTATAACAGGGTGTCCAGAATATAATTCAAAAGCCACAGAACGTTGTCTTCATTCCTAAAGCACGTAACCGGCCTTAACCCCAGCACCGGTATCATCACCTCAAGCGAGATGACCCACGTTTATCCGACCCGCCGCTTAGCATGCGCAGGTACGGGCGGAGAAAGTCTCACGTGGAAGCCTGAAACCCAACAAAACGTCAAGACGACCGCTGTTTCTCCTGCCTTAGAAAGGGAAAAAGGATTATTTATCCGGGTGGAAGACAGCTCACAGCGTTCGTAACGTTTTAGGCCAAGAAGCTGATACTGGTTCATCCTATTAAACCAAGCTGCTTGAGGCTACACAGCCTACACGCCGACAAAACGGAGTTTATCCTAAAAATACGTATTTGTGCCACCATAAATACGTATTTAATCGCACACAGCCGCAAGAACCCGCCACACATCACGCCCAGAGGTATTAGGAATTACAGTGTTAAGATATATCCCGACGCTAAAGTAGTAAAGCGTCCAAATGAAGGATCGGGGAGCGTTCGTATTTATATCCTAAACTGCCTGGCCTGGTCACATCAGCAGGTTCCGAGGGATAAAAGAGGGTTTTCACAAGAAAAATCAGTCGGCTACGTATTGAAATGGAATTTAGTTATTAAAACCTCCTGATTTTATGCTGGCGAGCAGCCTGAGAGCAAAATCTGCCTGGTAACGAGACGAGGATAAAACCTAAGGCCGCGGTGGTTGTGCTCACCTCTACTGGAACGAGAGACCTGCACCTCGTGCCTAAACCATGGCTCGGCGGCGTGAGATTAACGAGCCTTTTCCCCGGATGATCTCAGCCATGTGGAACAAATGACAGAGATTAGGTGCTGTCCAGGTTTTAATAAACTCCCCTCGGAAAAAAAACCACCAAACCCTCCAGGCATCAGTGAAATTGCGTAACGGGAGATTAGTGTAAGAAGTGCAAGACCAAGAGTGGCAACGGGGAGGTTTGGGGGAAAAGAAGCTTTCGGGGGCTGTTCTTTGGGCCGAATCCTCGTCGATTCTGCCACAAGGAACGGGGGTAAGCTACCGCCGCACACCAATAACGAGCTGAAGGGCGGGGAAGCACAGTCAGCAAAAAGGAGGATCCGAATATTCAACGTGACCCGAAGGACCAAGCGAGATCCAACGACGCCAAGCGAACTCACAGGCGCGTATTTAGGAAGGCAACAACCCCAAACCCGCCGCGGGCTCCGTCAGAAAGAGGGCAGCGTAAGCGCTGGATTACGAGTAACTCCCCAAAGGTACCGCCAGTACGACTTTAAAAGCGAGAAATCCAGCGCGGAAGCCGTGGTACCCTCAGCAGAGAGAAGTAAACGCCACGGTAGAAGGCGCTGGCCGAGCGTTAATCCGGAATCTCGCACGCCACGATGGACCCACGCTCAGAAAATAAAAAGGATTAATTGAAACTGAAGTGCAAAGGAGGGCTCGGAGCAGAAACAGCAGAAGGGGTGACCTACATTACCAGAAACTAAAAGCCTGGTTGGTTCAGGCCGCAAAAACGGGCTTGGTAAAGAGCAGGGCTCTCCAAATCCACTGAGAGGTCGACAGCAGGAAGAAATTAAATTGAATTAATTAACTGAACAACAGTAACGCAAGAAACACCGGACAGAAAGCGATCGTAAGCAGGAAACCGGGTTTCTACACATCAAAGCCGGTCTGGAATAACCTTCACAGCAAATTCAGCCTCTTAAACTGCGCCTGATAAAGCTTGCAGAAGGGCCTAAGGGGTTTGGCCACCTCTAATACCAGGGTCAGGCTCAACCTGGGGATTTCTTTCTAGTCCCACGCTCCCTGGGATGTCCCCACCGATGGGAAAAGCACCTGGCGAGCCACGTCCTCCCACCCCTGCTGTAACACGACGGGCAAGCTAACCCCCATTTAATTCTCCACTGCAATTTAACAGATTATAAATTATTCACGGACGACGCGCCCCTCCAGCTCCCTCAACTCTCCCTGCTGATCAGCCAACAAAAGCCATCAAACGGAATATTCGGCATGGGTCAAGTTCACCTAGCGAAAACACCGACCTTTAACATTGTCCCCTTGCCTGTGGGGACACAAATTGCCCCCTAATCAAATTTCTTGCTGGGATTTTTAAGCGCAAAAAGCATTAACACCAGAGTTACATTGGGAGGGAGCACTCGGATACAGCCCATCTCCAACCAAAACACGGAAAGGTGTGGCACTGCGCCTGTCAAACCCATTCCCCCCCCCCTCAGAGACCTACTTAGACGATTCTACGCTGTAATTACATCCAGCAGGTACAGTACGTCTGTCCAGGGGGGTGCATCGACGCCTGGCTGTTGGGAGCCGCAGCGGGGCGAAGCCGTGCATCCTCCCCCAAAAGTTACAGCTGTTCTAGAAACAGTAATTTTCAAGAAGCCACCCTAAAATCATAGAATCATCGAATGGTTTGGGTTGGAAGGGACCCCTAGAGGTCATCTCGTCCAACCCCCTGCAGGAGCAGGGACACCGCTAACTAGATCAGGTTGCCCACAGCCCCGGCCAACCTGGCCTTGAATGCTTCCAGGGATGGGGCCTCCACCCCCTCTCTGGGCAACCTGTTCCAGTGTTTCACCACCCTCAGTGTAAAGAATTTCTTCCTTATATCTAGTCTAAACCTACCCTGGTTTAGTTTAAAACCATCCCCCCTTGTCCTGTCACAGCTGGCCCTACTAAAATAATTAATCATAAGCCGATGCTCGCTACGACCTTCCCAGGAATAGTGTTTATGGAGGACAAATGTGGACAGAAAGGTGATTAGTTGGGGGTTTGGGGGTTTTTTTGACAATGGTATTCAGGGGAAGGAATTGTTCCCCATGCCCAACCTCACCCTGCCCTGGCACAACTTGAGGCCGCTGCCCCTCGTCCCAGCGCCCCTTCCCTGGGAGCAGAGCCCGACCCCCATCTCGCTACAGCCTCCCATCACAGGAATTAATTCCCTAGCAGGGAATTTACCAAGACGATCAGCAAGGCATTGAGACGAAGGAGGTTTTTATCACGGCTCTTTCCTCTTCAGACGCCACAGAGATTACGAAACCTAAGAGTTATTTGATAGCTCTGAAGCTGCCAAGCTTAAGTTCAAGGTGTTTCTTTCCATCACCTCACCGGGTAGCAAAGAACTGCGGCACCTCAGAGAAAAGCCCCCAAAGAACGATGACAATTGTCAAGTCCAAATAAAATTATTCGGGCTCCTCGAGGTAATCGGTTTGCAGAACATCTACATATCAAAAAGCCTTCCTGGTCGCAAGCTCCTGAAATACCTCATTAGAGATAATAAGGCAACTTTCCCTTCCAAAAAAGTAAACGATTCCCTCTTGCAAAGATCCAAGGTGACCAATGCCTGCTTAAAACGCGCCAGCATCGTTTAACCTCTGATCCGCAGAAAGCTCTGCGCTGGTCTTTTGATGACCCCGAGAGATGGGTCTGCAACGGTTTTATTCTTTAAAGAAATAAAATAAAGGAAGAGGAGAGACGGAGAATTTGCAGCTCAGCTGAACTCTTTCAATCTATTTCTCTCTGCAACAGTCGCAACTCCCTCGGCACAGATCCCCAGGCCAGGCACGCGTCCCGCTTTCTCACCTCCGGTCACGCTTTCTCAGCCGCCCTAACCCGAAGGAGACAACTCCCTAAGAAAATTCCCATCTGCGCCGGTTAATTTAACCTCCCCTTCCAAAAGGCGGTGAGCAGATACCACCTGCTGGTCACTGCCTCGCTGCTTCAAGTTACTTAGCAAAGAAATTTCCCCTCCCAGGGCTTTCAAACAAGAAAGTCCTTAAATTTAAAGTGTTGGTGAGGACTAAGGCAATAGCCCAAACACCCGCCCTTATCTTCCCTCCCTCGCTGCTGAAGCCGTGCCGCGATACGTATCAGCGCGCCCGCAGCGCGTCACCTAGCCCTTGCAACCGCGCCGCCCACAGAGACAACGCCACCCACTAAAGAGCACAATCTCAGCTTCGGCAATTAATCAGCGGGACTGATTTAAACCTCACCCCAAGCCCCCTAAATTCCTTACCCTAAGAGGTAAAAGCCAGTAGTAACAGCCAGACTCGGAACTTGCTTCCGTAAGCTCAAAACCTCAGCGGTGAAGAACCACGACATCGATGCAATTCTACCGCCAGAGTCGCAAGGGAAAAAAAAAAATAAAAAAAAAAAAAATCTAGGCTGCAAAGCTTAACACCACCCCCGTTGCGGAAGGCAGGCAGCCGCCCTCGTTCCTAAACCGCATCGCAAGCCAGAACACTTTGGGAAAAGCCCGAGCCGATCAGGGCACCCGTACGGCCTCGTGCAAGGTCGATCGCCTCCTACAAGCCACTTGATTTCAAGCAGAGGTTAATTAGAACTTACTCTAAGTTGCTATCGGGGCAGGGAGTCAAGTGACATTAAATGAAAAAGAAATGTTTAAAGAACATTTGGTTTAGCTTTAAATAATTTTATTTTTAATCGAAAAATACACATTTACAAAGGAAATACAAACAGACCTCTGAAATAACATTACAAAAAAAAAAAAAAAACCCACAAAGAGGGAAGACACACTGGCTGGGGCCTATCTTTACGTCATTTCATCATACAGCAAAATGGTTTCTCCAAGTGGCTGGGCCACATGAAAGTCCACGTTCAAACCGCTTGGCTTAAAAAACCCCTTTGCTTTAGCAAGTTCATGACACACTGAACCACTCATCTTGGGGTCCAATTTTAGCCTTAAAATGACTTTTCCCCTTCAACAGTATCATATTCCCTCTCTCTCTCTCTCCTGCATTTACTTGCCATTTATAAGCTCCAGTGCCTCATCTTTGGTCCGCGTGATCTTTTCCTGCCTCCACGACGAGGGTCTTCTGGACTGGTTGTGTTTCACCAAGAGATGCGAACATCGCACTTTGCTAGGCTCCCCCTGGCCGTTCTTCCCGCTGCCGCTGGGCCGTTCCCACTGGCTGGCATTTGTGATGTGGTTGAAGTAATAAACACGGCCTGCGGACAGAGAGAGGGGGCTGGGGTTAAAGAAAAGCTCCCGACAGACCCCCGAGAATCAACTTTTTGACCCCAAGAATCAGATTCTGACCTCAAGAATCAGCTCCCTGGCCCCAAGGGCACAGCAGACTACATTTCCACGAGCGCTTGGCCACATCCCCACGATCAGCTCGGCCACACGAGCTAGGAGACAGGACTTCACAACTCCACCTAATTTCTTACGCGAGCGTTTCCATCGGGAAGCGCCTTTAGTTGAGGCAATGACCCTCGCTGAAGCAGGCTCTGGCTGCCTTCCCAATTCACGAGGCTGGCCCAGATGAGCCACAAAACACCGACTGACACATTCAGAAACCATGAACACCCCCAGGCAACACCCTGCCACTGCCGAGGTGCCGGGTTTCTGGCCTATTTACAAGGGTAAAACAGTGGAAAGCCGCTCTGTTAGGCACATCCCGCAGCAAACGCGGCGGGGTACTGTTAGCAAAGATGGCGCTGGCCCGCC